AAAGATATCAACGTTACGTTACTTCGAGGTCAAAGATATCGAAGATAATCTCTCTGTGTTCCAGTCGGTATTACAGAACGCTTCTTCGTCTGTAAATAATCGACAGATATTTAAAATTTTTAATTATTCCATATAACATGAAAAATATAAGTAAACGAAACAAACTTTGTAACATTACAATACTAACGTACCTGGAATTACTAGCGGGTCCTCGTAACCAGTGTGGGTGCAATAAAGTACGNTACAATACTAACGTACCTGGAATTACTAGCGGGTCCTCGTAACCAGTGTGGGTGCAATAAAGTACGCGTCCCAGAAAAAGTTCTCTGTATGCATTTTATGTAGTTGATAAATTTCAACAGTTAGAAGTTTTGATAAAATGTAGAGTACGTTAATTAATCTTACCATTTTGTTATTGTTTCAATAAATCTGCAGCTTCAGGATTTAATGCATACAGAGACCTTTTTCTGGGACGCGCACTTTATTGCACCCACACTGGTCACGAGGATCCACTAGTAATTCCAGGTACGTTACTATTGCAATGTTACAAATAGTTTGTAACATTATATTTAAACAAATTTCTTTTCCACAAAAAATGTCAATGAAAATTAATTAAAAATTATTGTTTAACAAATGCAAAAAATATTTAATTATCTATAGCTGAAAAGAACTATTTTTTAAAGAGGAGACGCGATTATTCGAGCTTCGCGGTTTGTCTTTATAGTCACGAATTGTCAACGATTATAAGAACGAGCCGCGAGGCTCGAGTAATCGTGTCGCTTCTTCCCAAATTGTCCATTTTTGTGCACAATCCGAGCGTCAGTATGGGAGACATTACTGTATCACGCTTTAAGATGACTTTTATATCAACAAAGTTTAGATTTAAAATATTGTTGAGAATGTAATTGTTGTGCGACTCCCAAGAGTCAATTTCATGTGTATAAAATGCATTTTGTCATATAAAATAGAAAATAGAAAATATAATTAGAAAAATGATTTTATATTTTAGAGTTAAAACAGCTTCGAGTGCAAAGGGTTGATAATAAAAATATGGATAATGGTAATTTTTAGATATTTTTGGTGAAGATTTCAATGAAAGTTAATTAAAAATTATTGCTTCACAAATGCAAGAAATATTTAATTATCTATAGTAGAAAATAGCTATTTTTTAAATATTCTTGGTGAAAATTTCAATGGAAATGAATTAAAAATTATTGTTTAACAAATGCAAGAAATATTTAATTATCTATAGTAGAAAATAGCTACTTTTTGAATATTTTTCGTGAAAATTTCATTGCAATATCTTCGATGGTTCAAAAGTTATAACAGAATGTCACTGAATTTCTGGATCCAGCCTACTGTGCGCTTTGCGATCAGCCGTCGCTCTTAAACTTCGACGATTTGCTTCGCCTCTTCGCTGTCCACTCACCTTTCATCTGAGACTTCGTTATGTTTGGCGATTTACTGGACGAGACAGGCGCAGGTCTTTTCGGCGACACGGGCAGAGAATAGAGGTTGCTGGTCGCCGTGTTGCTGGTGGTCGCGGACGAGGACGCCGGCGAAAACATGGCGGTCGCGGCGGTCGCGCCTCGGCACTGAGCGCTTCGCGATCGCCATTCGCCTAATTGCTGCGAGTGGTCGCCGTCGTCGACGGCGGCGGCGGGCGATATCGACGGCTGGAACTCCGCGTGCAGGAATGGCAGCGGGGCCGACGCGACTGTCATCGTCGACGTCGACGTTGTCGAGGCTGTCGTCATCGTCATCGTTATCGTCCCCGTTGACGTCCTCGGTGAACCGCCGCTCGTCCCTTCTTGCTCCTCGGCGTTCCCCGCTGCTGCCCCGCTGCTCTGCCTCGTCTGCGAACATTCCAAACGCACCCCTGTTCACACAATCGTTTCTCTCATCCCCCGTCTAATTGCTAATTTCGTTCGCCGTCGACGCGACGGAACTGGCCGTCGGATTTGGAAAAAAAGATTTCGAACGCGATCTACTAACGATAAGCATAGATGTTACATACGTCTATTAAATCGAAATCAATTGATACAGTAATGTCTCTCTAATTGACACTCGGATTGTTCAAAAAAAGTAGACAGTTAGGGAAGAGGAGATACGATTGTTCGAGCCTTGCGGTTCGTTCGGATAATCGTATCTCCTCTACCCTAACTGTCTATTTTGTTGGACAATCCGAGCGTCAAGAAACTTTTAACATCGTTTTGAAAATAATACAATACCCAACGAAAGCAACTGCAATTTAACTTTTCGACGAGTTACAGTAATGTCTCCCTAACTGGCGCTCAGATTGTGCAGAAAAATGGACAATTTTGGAAGAGGAGATACGATTGTTCGAGCCTTGCGGCTCGTTTTTATAGTTGTTGGCAATCGGTAACTATAACGAGCCAAGAACGTTTCCAAACTGAGCACCAATTAGGGAGAATTTAATGTATACAGTAATGTCTCTCTAATTGACGCTCAGATTGTCCACAAAAATGGACAATTTGGGAAGAGCAGAATACGATTATTCGAGCCTTGCGGTTCGTTTTTATAGTTACGAATTGTCAACGACTATAAAAAACGAGCTGCAAGGCTCGAATAATCGTATCTCCTCTTCCCTAACTGTCCATTTTTTTGGACAAACCGAGCGTCAATTAGAGAAACATTACTGTATTTCGTTTGCACGTTTCTCTGGAATCGTTTACAAATCTTAACAGAATAAAAGCCACCCTCAACACGAGAAACATGTTTGACCGAATATTTCGTGAACCAATCGAGTTATAAATAACGAAATCGTGTATTTCTCGGAACGAAAGCTATGCGATTAGATTCGAGGAAACTGGCATAATTGAGACTCCTTAGACGTTCGAATGAAAATTTCAAATCGGACGTCCTTGAGTAAATATATTAGTTTCATTTCATAGCGTTCTCACGAGTTTTCTACCTTTTCACCTTTAATAACAGAGTTTTTATATCGGGTTTTTATACAGGGTTAAAATTGTCCCGTTTCGTTATCGTGTGAAACTCGTCACAAAGATTTGGAACGCGATCTACTAACGATAAGCATAGATGTTACAAACGTCCATTAAATCGGAATCAAATTCCACCTTTCTCTGATCGATATTTAAAGTAACGGTTGATATTCAATAAATATAAATGATTTGTCTCGAGTCTAGAAATTTATCAGCGACTAAATAGTGCTAATCAACGTAGCTTCGAAAGTGCTTTCGATAGAAAAATATGCTACAGCGACACTTTTAAATCCTTTTACCGTTTTTATTATTTTATATAACACCACGCTTGATGTATACAGGGTGTCCCAAAAATGTCTCGCTATCTGGAAATGGGAGGGTTCCCGAGGTGATTGGAAGTAACTTTTTCCTTAGCGAAAATGCGATTCGCGGCTTCGTTTACGAGTTATCGACGAAAAACAGTGACCAATGAGAGGCGAGGTCGGCTGACGCGAGGCGGCCGAGCCAATCGGCGGAACTGGGCATCGCGCGCTCGTTGGCTGAGCCGTCTCGCGCCAGCTGAGCTCGCCTCTCATTGGTCGCCTCCGTTTTTCGTTGATAACTTGTAAACGAAGCCGCGGATCGCATTTTCGCTAAGGAAAAAGTTACTTCAAACGATCTCAGGAACCCCTATTTCTGGATTGCGAGACATTTTTGGAATGTCTTATACATAAAAACTGAATCCGTTTACTTCTTCCTTGCCCGTAATAATTCGTACAAGCTGTCATTCATTCGGTTTCCGATATTTTTCTTATCTTAGGTTACATCTTCATATTTTTGGGTCACCCTGTATAATCTAGTAGTCGCGTCCCGGATTCGGGGCTTTTACAAAGAAACCATGCCATTCGGATCAAATTCAAATCAAAGTCCATTATCGTACCTGACGATAATAATCCTAGGGCTATACTTTTTCATAAATCGTCAACGAATCTGAAACTAGTCGCATGGAACCACTCGGCGCGGTCCACTAATGTATTATAAGTAATTTTATCGACGACCATTGCAGCGTGCAGCGTGCACGTCGATATTGAGCGTAGAAATAAATGAATTTTCAGTGGCCTTTGGAATCGATAGTTCCGTATGCGATTTAATCCGAGCTTTATGACTATGATTTCAACGCCGATTAAAATTATAGTGCTATACCTCGCGTGTATTTAACGCGTCGCGTCGGATCGTACGACCGACTGGCTATTTGCAAAAACATCAATTTTTACCTATCGATGCACATTCCAATGTACGATATTCGTTTTTTTCCCAACGTAATCATTTCTTTTATCACCATTCAATAATTTTTTATTATTTTCAAGTTTGTAGTGCGTAACGCGAGAAGAACGGCGTTTCTTCCAGTCGGTTGAGCGCGCGCGGTCGCAACGAAACACGTTCGTCGAGGTAAACGTTTCGTAGGCAGCGATTTATAGTGCCGGTTGCGCGGCGAGCAGCCTCGATATCCACAGGTGGCACGAAGGACCGTTCCGAAGGTGCGACGCGGACGGGAACAGCGATGCGGGATATAAAGTCGCCGGCCGAAGAGCCGCGCGTTGCTTTCATTATTTTATGGGATTCGAGGATCATCACCGACGGCAATTACGCGAGATCGAGACGTTGTTTAGCGACAAGGTAGAATTAACCCTTAGCACTCCGAACCATTCTGGACGTTGGCTACCAGCTACTCAGCGCCACTTTTCGGCAGAAACGGGCATTTACAGACCCTCGTATTATTTAGTATGGTTTTGGAACTAACTAACATATTATAATGATATTGGACTTATATGAATTTGGCTGAAATCGAGAAATTTGCAAAACAACCAATATTTTATTTTTTATAATTTTGTTATTGTTTGTTTTATAATTTTGTTTTGTTGTTGTAATCGCTATTTGTGCGATCTCTTTCTCTCGTCGCCTTGTTGCTTGGACGATATCACTGTCGCTGCTATCAAAACGATAAACTAACTGTAGAAGAAAACCTTCTACAGTTAGAGTCTTTCTAATATATCTGTCTAAACGTCTATCCGGAGCTCATCTTCGCTACTACTTGTGTCATGAGACTCATTCGTGTTCGAACGTTTTGCCATTGTTCTAATAAAAAATATGAATAAATACATAGGTTGAAAATTTCAAATTGTTATTACTAACTCGCAAGATGATATTTACCAAAAAAACTTTTACCAAACAATTTATTCACCAAGAGAAGAATCACTTTTCCGATTTTCTCACTCGTTAGATCTATCTATACCGCTCGACGCTTCAAACCAGACTGAGTTCAGCTTTGAAAATCTTTTCCTCCAGATTTCATGATTATAAATCTCGCTATACAGTGCTTGCTATGTTCGCATACCGATCTTTCCTCTACGAACTTGCCTTATCGCTCTTTTCGAGTGGCACCTTTGAAGTGCTCGGACCTTCGTGAGCACGTCTCTCACGTTCTCGTCAAAACCCGCTCACATTTCTTGTATATATCTTAGTAATTTTACTATATTTTGATTTGATTTCTTGTGCCGTTTCAAAAGAAAACTTCAGGGAAACATGCTTGTCTCAAAAAATTGCGCTGAAATAACTCAATTCCCCGTAATCACTAATACACTTTTAATATCCCACGAGAGGGGACATCCGAGTGATATGCTAGAATTACGATGTCCCACGAGAGGGGACAGCGGAGTGCAAAGGGTTAAGCAGGAATCGGCTGTCGCTTTCTTTTGGTCGCGCCGTTTGGGAATCGCGTCGTCGCGGCCGCGAGGATAATAAAAAGCGGCCGCGAAAATGGTCACGTCGAGGCGGAACGGGGACAAACTGGGTGTAACTGGAACGAGAAATGCACATTGTTGAGGCAATAAACTCGGCGTAACGACCGACACGGTGCTTCGGAGCCGTAAACTTGGACGCGCGAGGTGCGCAGACGTGTTCGAGCTGTTAAAGTTCGCCGCGCCGCGAACTTCGCCGGTGCGAAGATCGAAAGAGGCGAACTTGAAAGCTCGTGCTGTTCGGCTAAGAATTTCGACTGGATTGTGAGTCGATCGTCGCGTTATAGTCGTGGGAATTGTCGGTAGAAGAAGCGAAGTTTTTCTTAATTTTTTCTTAATTCTTCTTTCTGAAAAGAGACGATTATTCGAGCCTTGCACTTCGTTTTTCTTTTTTTTGTAATCGTTGGCAGTCGGTGGTTGTAAAAATTAGTAGCGAGGGTCGAATAATTGTATCTACTTTTCCAAAATGGACAATCCAAAGTGGACAATCTCATCTTTCGAAAATTGTCCAGTTTTTGTTTAGAAGCTGATGGAAAATTGGGGAGAATTTACTGTGCCTTTGAAAGTCGCTTCTTTGGACGCGTTGAAGCGGTTAAACCTTGACACAACCTTGGCATAACCTTGACATTTCCTCTTTCCAAATTATCCACTTTTTGTTTTACAAGCTGAAGGAAAATTGGGGAGAATTTACTATACCATCGAAAATCGCTTTTTTGGACGCGTTGAAACGATTAAACCTTGACATAACCTTGACATAACCTTCGCATAACCTTGACATCTCCTCTTTCCAAAATTGTCCACTACTTGTTTAGAAGCTGAAGGAAAATTGGGGAGAATATGCTGTGCCTTCGAAAGTCGCATTTGGACGCATTGAAGCAGTTAAATTTTGACATAACCTTGACATAACCTTGACATTTCCTCTCTCCAAATTGTCCACTTCTTGTTTAGGAGCTGAAGGAAAATTGAGGGGAATTTACTGTGCCTTCGAAAGTTGTTTCTTTGGACGCATTGACGCGGTTAACGTAACGTAATGCGTTTACTGTAATGTCTCTCTAATTGACGCCGAGATTGTGCAGAAAAATGGACAATTTGGAAAGAGAAGACACGATTAATATT